AGAATAATGCTGGTGTTCACACCTTACTGAGATTTGACCTTAGGCAATTGTTTTCTCTTTGTACCAAATTATCCACAGCAGTCCTTTCCTTCTTTCCCTGGCTCTTTAAACTTCCAGCTAGTACCTCACGAAAAGTCCGTCCCTCACTCCCTGTCTCTCTTTTTCATTTGAGGGGAAAAAGATCTCAATTGTGAATAACTGCAAAACCAATACTAGCTGCGCCTGTGCTACCAAATGAAAAATTTAAATTCTGAAATGAACTAGACATTAAATAAATACCACCGACTGAAAAAGCTTTTTGGAAAAATCAGCGCTCCATTTCAGCTTGTTTACAAAAGTCTATTTATTGCCTTTTCTGCCTGGTTTAATTAAACATGCTCTTCCTCAAATATGAGCATCCACTACGACAAGGAATAATTTCTCATTCCATTTTGTTCCTAATTAACCTCTAATATTAAGTTTATATAATCTTCCATAGAAGCCCATTACAAAAAGTAATACATTCCAGCTTATGTTGTGGTTGAGTTGTCACGTGGGTTATCCTCAGAATTTCCTCTCCCCATACTCACAATTATTTTTATCAGCTGTGCCCTGAGTTCCACACAACACCTTAAAAGTACAAACTCTTGAACTAAAATCTATTTGTAAATTGAATACTATATGATTTTTTTTTATTCACTTGGGCCACAAATAAGGTCAGCCTGCATTCTTTTTTCTAAGTTTTGATGTTGCTTCTTTTTTGTTCCCATAAATTCTAATAGAAAATCCCACACCTGTGTCATGTGTATTAGAGTCCCTGACTGATAGCTCTGGTATCTGCAGTTCCTGTAGCAGCTGGGATGGTCATTACACATGATCCCTCCCTTGAAATTGCTGCCTCAGACCTGCAGGAGGCTGGTGACATAAGGATGTAGACCACTTAGGCTACTAGGCAATAATGTTAAATGGTGCCATATAAGGGTAAGCTATAGTTATAACATGAAAATATTTTATTAAAAGGCTTTTGTTTCGCCTGTAAAGTTCATAGAACTTTTAAAAATTTTAATAATTAGTGCTGTAGTGCAAACCACCTATGAAGCAAACCCTATAAAGAGTGACTCTGGGTGCCAGCAAGGATTTTTGCAAAATATCAAACTTTAACGGGCACACTTTGAATCCCACAGATGCTTCCAAAAGCAAATGCTAAAGTCATTCATTACTGTCCAGTAGGTTGTCTGCAATATTATTCATAAACATAATAGGCAAGGAGAGAAAGCATGGAAGAGTCAATACAAATCACTATACTTTAAAATTAATGTTAAAGGGAAATGAATCTTACACTAATAAGGCATTAGGCACTCTATTCTGAATTATTCAATAGTAACTACAGTTAAAAGACAAATTGAAATAATTAAAAGGGTGTAATGTGACCTAAAAAAAAAATTACAGCCGTCTGCATGCCAGCATGATGTCCAAATGGCAGTACAAAGTCCTGATGATTTTAGAGTCATTGGATCACGATTACTGAGCGCACAAAGTCAAATGCAGGCGGCACTTTAATATAACACTGTATTCTGTTTACCGATAGAGCAGTAAATAAACCCAGAGCTCTCTCTTATTTATCTATCTGAACTGAAAGCGATTTTCCTCAGGGCAATCATTAGACTGCCAATATCCTTTCCGCAAAAGGTCCGATAGACTCATTCTGTTTTCAAAATCATACCTAAATAGGCACTCATCTACGAAGACTCATCCTTACAAATTTCAAAAATTTCCTAATGGTCTCTTCCCCACAACCAGCAATCAAGCGAACCATCACATGGGAGCTGTTGATTATTTTGCCCAAGGCAGCATCACATTGTGGTTCTCTAGGAGGGATCTCCACAGGCTTTTCCCACCAAAGGTCAACCTCCTGATCCTACCAACCCTGTGAGCATCTGCACGATGCAGTGCAGTAATCCTTAAACTTTAAATATGTAATAGAACCCCAGGGGATCTTGTCAAAATGCAGATTCTGACTCAAATGTGTAATTTGGGTTTTGAGTGATTTAAAATCTGTTGCTGGGGCCGGCCTGGTGGTGCAGTGGTTAAATTCACACGTTCTGCTTCGGCGGCCCGGGGTTCACCAGTTCAGATCCTAGGTGTGGACCTACGCACCATTTGTCAAGCCATGCTGTGGTAGGTGTCCCACATATAAAGTAGAGGAAGATGGGCACGGATGTTAGCTCAGGGCCTGTCTTCCTCAGAAAAAAGAGGGGGATTGGCTGCAGATGTTAGCTCAGGGCTAATCTTCCTCAAAAAAAAAAAAAAAGTCTGTTGCTATAGTGATACCATCCAAGATTTCATACCAAAAATAAGTATTCATAATTTGTATTATGTTTTTAGGATAATTAAATGCCAAAAAGTGTAATTATATATCAACATTTGTTCAACATTTGTGCAGGAACTATATTTAATACCGTGTATCAGGATGGGTGAACATTTATGTGGCTTCCAAGGCATACTCCAAGATCTGATTTTGGAGTATGGGTAGATCACTTTTCAGTACAGAGTCTACTATTATGAGGAATTCCAGACATAATAGAACTGTGCCTCAAGTTTAAGACATTAAAAAAGCCACACGGGAAATGGCCTAAAACAATATAATTAAACTGGTGAAAGTCAAATTGCCTTATCAGTATACTCACTGGTAATATGATCCATAGATGGGCAACACAGATTAAATAGAAATGCCTCAAGGGCACTATTGAATAAGGAATTAGTGTCTTTGCACTGCATACATGTGGGGCATCAATTTCATGTTTAAACTGAAAGCAGGAAGATACTATTTCTTGAAAGCTGCTTTAAAACCCCATTTCTACTGTCCGTCTGGAAAGATGACTTGGCTAAGAAAAGGCAGTGGTCATAGAAACTGCAATTGAGAGCGTGCCTAGGACAGAAGGCCGAAGTTACAACATTCCACTAACACCATCAGAAGTTACAGAACATATTTAGGGAAAGCTGCAATTTCTAAAGACATCAGGCAACAGACACTAGATCTCCTCAGACTTAACTTTGAGTAAATATGTTAGTAAACACTAAAATATCCCACTGGACATCCATCTTAGATCATCATAGATCCATCAGATTTAACGAGAAAGGAACGATGCTGGGCAGACACAAAGAACTAAACTGGAAGAGTTCACTTAGTTAAGGATCTTAGATCCTTTCACAATCCCCATGAAGTTCAGTGCTGTCATGAACTCATTATTTTTCTCCATGTGTTTTTCTTCTAGAATACAGTACTGCATTCGTCATGCTTTGAATTGACAATGCTAAGGTAGGAAGTCTACTGCTTTTGGCCAATTTCAATTATTTTTGTACTTTTATTTTTTAAAGTGATCAAACATTTTTGTGAGAGTCACAGGACATTTTAAAAGCTTTTTTCTAAAAATAAGATTGACTGTTAAGAGGCTTAATGAAGCTCTCATGCATCCAAGCAACAGATAGGGGTAAAAGTGAGAATATATGAGAGTCATTCTGCAAGTTTACAGGTTATGTTAAAACAAATGATTATCTTGGTGATTCACTATGCATAACAATTTAAAATGTGAGCAAACACATGCTACATTCTAGGAGAAACACATTTTTAACAGGATCTTCAACTTTATATTTTAATCACTATGATCTTCTACATTATCACCATATCTTAGAATAGGAAGTGATTTACATTTTCCTGGTATCTAATTTATAGCATTTATGTTATTTGATATAGAAAATAAAATACTCAATTACTCTTAAAGGTGTTTCTCAAAGCATACCTATTATAAATACTAAACTCTTTTTTCTTTTATTTATTGTTCTAAATGTGTGGAATAATCTTAAACCTAGCAATGCACATATATCAACCTGAAAAATACTTATACCGAGAGCTTTGGAGTATGGAGTCTTTGGGGTTTAAATCACTAGACTTTGATAAAACAGGAATTATGAGATAAGATAAAAAAAAAAAGAACAAAGTTTTGGGAAACTTCTTTATAGGGACAGGTTTAAGAGACTCCACTAAATATGTCACCATGATATCTTGACGGTTTATAAATGTGAGATGGTTCTATTAGTTCATGTTGCTTTCTGAACCACATAACAAAATTGTAAGAGCACCATTCCAACAGCAGAAGTTATTTCAGCAAGGTTGGAGGGTAACTGCCTTGTACCTCCCTCCTAGCAATTTAATTCATCTTTCTTAGATCACCTCAATAAAGAAGGCGGGAGGATCACTGTCCAGCGTTTGCAAATATATGACATCTATGATTCAGGCTGACCCACTGTAAACTGATCTCATTCCATTATAAAAAGACAATTGTACTAAAATAAAAGAACAATGGAGAAATATAGCTTAAGGCTGACCGTATTAAGACTCAGAAATAAAGAGTTCACTACCTATTGTGGTCAAAGATGGCGACTGTTCATAGACTTGCGGCAACTCAACTACCATCACTGCATTTTAGCTTTCTCTCTCTCTTTTTTTGGTTTAGAAACAAAAGCTGGCACAGTTTCCTAAAAGTATATATATTTTTTTGTTGTTGTTTTTTGATCAATCTCAACTCAATGAGGAATAAACAGGGCACATTGTACATCTTGCCAGTTTGGTTATTAAAAGTCTGTCTAGTTTAACACTTTCTTCTCACATTAAACTCAAATCTCCTCTCCTCCTCTCTTCCTTTCTGTACACAGACTTGTTGGAGATTGTTGGGCCTATTCAACAGGTAGGTTCCAAGGAAGGTTTCTGGCACCATTTTTGCCTACATGTAAGGCTTCCTTGCCACCAAATTTGGGACTTAGTTGCTAATTCTGGACAACAAAACAAGTGCCACTGAATGTCCTGTTACATGTAAATGACATAGCGATAATGTGGTGCCCCATAATGTTCAATTTAGAACACACTACTACAAACTTTCATTTCCCTCCATTCTGATACACATGCATTTTACCTCCACCCCCAAAGATAGCAAATGTATAACACTGAAGAAAAATTGGGTTACCATGGCTGTTACATCTGGACGTTTCCACAAGCCTGCCATTTTGATCGTAGCACGCCATTGCTTGGTAACGATATCCTTGACCACATTCCTTGATGTCTCCTTGTACTTTCATTCCCAGCAACACTTCCACTTTCCCCTCTGGTAAAATGCAGTCTGACCAGTTCCCCACAGGCTGTGCATTATATTTGTCACAGGGACAATACTGAGTCTCAATCAGGGGGTACAAATGAGAATTTTTACATTTTTCCTTCTTTTTACTTTTTCCTGTGGAGAAATTTAAGTTGGAAAATATCATTACTCATTTCAAGCATCCCTAAGTTTTCTCCTTCCCTAAACTTCCTTTCTCCATTTTTAACCATATTCAACAGTAGCCTATAAATAAATGCGATTTTCTTACCCCATAGTGCTTTCTATGCAGGCTTAGTTAGTACTGGGTGCTTTGCATAGTGAAATTTTTCTTATTTTCTCATTTAAAAATAGCCCATTTTGCATAAGGCACTAACTGTTGTGCTGAATTTTATACTCTTCAAAATGATTAAAGTCCTCTCAAAGGATCATGTGCTTTCACTGACCGGGGAGTCTGAGGTAACTGCATAAATCTCTCCTTTATGACATGTGCAAAAAGCACGAAATGGAGAGAGTCACTGTGCTGGACGGCACAGCCTTTTTGTTAATTCCAAATAGAGAGTGCAGTTACATAAGATGGCAATTTACAAAATGAGATTTTTGTATTTATTTTTCTGATTATGACTTTGTATCTTTCAGTATTTCTGAAGAATAACCACTTTGACATACTTGGTAATTAATGCAGGCAATAATATTCTAAATGAAGATATTTAATATCAGAATAAAAACATTAGAAATGGTGTTTTTATATAAATATAAATAAATTCCTTTTTAAAAAAGAAAAACTAGAGAATAACAGTAAATGTGCTTGAAAAATAATATATCATTATTTTCATTAGATCACACATATTTATATTATATTTATGTGTCATATATTATTTACTATTTAATTATATGGTATATAATTAATTACATATATTTATCTCTAACTTTTATAAGCTGCCTTATAAGTTTTCAACAGTTTTCATTATGTCAGGTAGTTCATTTTGTAACTTTTAAATTCTGAATAGTCCACTAGTACCAATATTTTTTGTTTTCTTTTGCTGCAGACAATATTTTCTAATGCAGCAAGGTTTAGTTCAGTATGATGGCTCCTGTTCTCACTCATTATATTACTGCTTTTCATCATTGCGACTGCCTTTTAAAATGCAGTTTTCAGATACAGAATTAATGCCATATTCCTCTTCTGGATATGAAGGATAATCTGAGGCTGTGACAGTGAGAATGTGTTAAAAAAACGAAGTGGCATTCTTTCCCAAAAACTTTTCTCCAAGCGTTTCACAATCTGTAGGCAATCCACCAAAAGTGCACGTTTCAACCAAAAAATAATCTACCATGTATTGTATAGGGAGACAGAGTTCAATTTTCAAGGCTACTTTGTCTTTGTACTAAAAGTTCATAATGCATCTGTCGCTTCCAACTTACATTAAAATACACATCCAAACCTACTGATGTATTAAGTATAGCCACAATAAGGCATGCCTGTGCATTTTCCAGATACATTGTTTCAAATACATTGTCAGAACTCTTTTGGTCTGACTTTCATTGTCTTTTTCTACCTTGCCAAGTGTTGGCTTTGCCATCCCAATTATCTTACCAACAATAGTGCGCTTTCTGGTCCTAACTGCACCACAATCTCCATTGCACGAAGAAAACTTGGACCAGCTGGTAAACTGACAGTCTTCTTGGCAGGGGATCTGGCAGGCTTGGGTGAGGGCTGGCACGGGGCCTGCATACTGGAGGCATTCATGGATGCTAGCCTGTCCTCCATCTTGCTTTCGACAAGTAATGGCTAAAGGAAAAGCATAAAGCTGTTTTTAACAAATTTGAATGTCTAATTACCCTACAATTTAAGAATTAGCCTAATGTTTTCTTACACGGTCAGGGGAATCTACTTTTAATTCTTTATTTGCAGCAGAAATCCGATAGAGTGTTTCTAATGATCATAGTAGTCATTAAGTTGATCCTGTAGGGTTTTTTAAAAAACAATAGATAACCCTCAATGGTTTTTGTGACAAAAAAGCACACACACACACACACACACCCACTTTACATTTAGCAGTTTTCATTAGATGTTATCAAGGATTTCAAGTCACATGTGGAGTATATTTAGAAATTAATTATTTACCAGAAAAATAAATAATACATGGGTTCTGATAATAGTTTATGTTGAACACAGGCTATTCACAGAGGTGCTGGGAGGCAACATATACCTCTGAAAATTGTTTTTATATCATTGGCCACACTAGGATTTCTACATGGAAGGGTCTTAGTAGCTGCAAACTGTTTGGATGGTTTGGGTGAAGGGGGCGACACTTAATGGAACTTGTCTGGAAGTTGCACTTGCACGGAAAGCATTTTTTAAAAATTGCTTTGGACGTTTGTTGGGATGGCTTTGGAGTGGTTAATGGTGGAAGGGGGAGGCAGTGTCAGAGTCCCCCACCCCTCTGTCTACAAGTTCTTCACATGAACAAACGCAAACCATGAATTTAAAGACAAAAACAAAAACTTCTAGCAATCCTAACCTATCATACCATAACTAATATTTCCACAATTACATACGGACTCTAAAAAATGGTCAAATAATTTTGATTTACATGTATTATTTCCCCCAAGATATTGTTCTACTGAACTTTTTAAACCAAGTCATTGTTTTATTACTTATTGAACATAGATGTAAAATTGCTTTAAGGTAAACACGTCTTAAAAAGCAAGTGATGTTTAAAGTTCCCCTTCTTCCTCTGTAATTTTCCCCCATTGGTTTTAAAAATAATTCATTCATTTATTGAGAAAGCAGACGAAACATTTAGACCTTGGTCCAAAAGTTAAGTCTTCACTTAACTAGCTTAAATGGCCTCAGTCAGACTGATGTCCACGGCCCTTTAAGGTTTGCAGTCTAGGCTGAAACTGCTGCTGATGTCCACTCTGCTTAAGATTTTATCATTATGAAACTCAGGCGAAGGAGTCTGACATTCTGATCCTAAATTACAGTTATGACACGGGCAGCCTTAACTCTCTGGATCTGTATACCAAACTTAACACCTGATAGTGTAGGGCTGTGTGATGGGGTGTGTAAAAGGAGATAACAATTTCAGCAAGAGACTTTCTCTGTGTAGGTAAACACAACTTGTCCCAAATGCTGCAGGCCAAGTTACATAATTGTGCAAATATAGGTGAATATTCACTTATTTCTTACCTATAGATATCTCTGTATTTAGTATGCACAACACCGGAAGTGCCAATTTGTATGAACAGAAGAGGCGTCCCTGGATTTTAAAGACCTGGTAGAGCGGACAGTGGTGGTCTTTCTGAAGGTTATATGACAGGAAAAAACATTAAGTGTCCCAAAGAGATTCTCACTACTTGGGGGAGGAGTTATCTGGTGCTCTGTGTTGATCATACCAGCCTAAGGTAGTGGTTCTCAAATCAGGCTGCAGATTATAATCACCTGAATAGCTTTTGGAACATGTCCAGGCCCTTGCTAAACTTAAACTTTCTGATTTAAATGGTCAAGGACAGGGTCCTGGGCATTAGCATCTTTTTAAATCTCCCTGATGATTCAAACATGCAGCAATGGATTGAAACCACGGCTCTAGTAGGTAATATATTCCCACTTGCATCAGAAACACCTGGAATGCTATTAAAGTTGAATATTCTTGGATTCCTTCCAGAGCTCCTGAGCAAGAGCTCTGTGTGCGGGGTCAAGGAATATGCATTTTTTTTCAAGCTGCTCAGATGTTCCTTATGCACATTCAGGTTTAAGATCTACTAGCTGGAGTATTCAGGGCACAAGGAGGGGTCTGGCTGAGACCTGTGGCTAAGGCTGAAAGTCCTTTGGTACCGAGTGACCCTGGCTTTGGGAAACAATGGCTGAGCATGTGGGGATGAACTAAGGGAGCTCTGAACTTGGAGCTCAAGAGGACTTGTACAAGCAGCAGACCAAAAGGAACATCCATATAGTTTGGAAGAATGTTATTTGTGGAATGGTATAGGAGGAGTCCCCACGATGTGGTATATTAATGAACTGATGTGATTTTGCTGTGCTCGCTCACCTGCCATGTGGAAGCAGGGTTGACTCTTTAAACTTAGTAAGCGCTGACGGTTTGTGAGCAAAGTTGCCCCAAGGAGACAGAAGAGGAAGGACTGATAAACAGGAAGATATTACACATTTTACTAATCAGGAATGCAGGAACCTCAAGAATGATTAATTTGGAAATTAAGAGATTTTACCACATCAAAACTCTAAGCTGTGAAGAGTGTCACACTACTCGTGACTAAAAGAAAATTACAAAACTAAATTTGAGTTCTTTGAAATAAGACTACTTTTATCTACTCATCCAATTTGGCTCTCTGAAATGGAGATTTGAAAATAAATCTTTCGAGAAACTAAATGAAATTATCTTAGGTTCTTTCTCACAAATTTTATTTCAGAATTGCTCCATCATCACATTAAGTGACACCAAAAACCAAACCAAAATAAAATAAAACCACTACCAACACAATGCCAGAAACAAATTAACTTATTTTGTGCAAATCTATACTATTTACATAAATCTGAAGCCCTTTTCCCTACACACCTGCAGTACAGAAAATCTTAAGTATTTCAACCAGTTGAAAATAACAAATGTGTAAGATTCGCATCTCTCTTCTCAGAAACCCACTCAGCACTCCACTCCCCTTATCTGAGATTTTAGACAGTGTACTTTGAAAGAATTACTCATGCAATGTCAGGCAAACAAGTAGCAACAACACCATTTGTGCAACATATTGAAAATTTATCATACATCTCAACTTGTTTCTATTCTGACTTAGAGGAAACACAACAATTCAAACACAGGCATGCAATCTGAAATGAACTTCCTGATATTTGGGTGAGGAAAATATAAATGTTTGGAAAGGAAACCATCTGGTCTCTCAACTTTATAAATCTTAAAAGTTATTTCTAAGACACTGAAAACAGGCTGTTTTTAACTGTAGAACAGATGCATCATACAAGCATGGTTTCCTAGCACACCAGAAAGCTGCAGATACCCAGACAATTGTATCTGAATTTACAGGTGGAGTGTGTATATCTTGTGTGTAATGATTATGCAAGTTCTCCTTTGGGCTGAGGCCTTGTTAGCAAGATGGGCCAAAAACCATGCTGCCCTATGGCTAATTCACCATGAAAGCTTCTTAGTAAGGTGAGCAAATATCAAAATAATTATCTTAAAGTAAAATTCCATATTTAACTCTATGTTGACTATATCCATTCATTTTATTTATAATTTTATTTTATTTCTATGAGGCACAGCAATTTTTATTTAAGTGTCATGGACAGGCTGCTTCCAGCAGGTTGAAAGCCTGGATGACATCCATGTGACTGATTTGTAGGTTACATATGAATTAAACTAGGTAAGCTCAGCCCATCAGTGATGAGGAAATGTTGGAAAGATAAATAAGAAAGCTAGTCAACTTAAGAGGGGCCAGCCCGGTGATATAGTGGGTAAGTTCATGTAGTGGTTAAGCTTCACTGGCCCATGGTTTGCAGGTGCAGATCCCGGTTCGGATCCTGGGTGCGGACGTAGCACTGCTCATCAAGCCACACTGTGATGGCATCCCGCACAAAGTAGAGGAAGATTAGCACAGATGTTAGCTCAGCGACAATCTTCCTCACACACAAAAAAAGTGACAAAAAATATTCTAACCAAACGCAACGTGGAGATCTTTATGAATGAACAAGTCAATTGCAAACAGACATTTTTGAGACAATGGTGGAAAATTAAAACACAGTCTGTAGATTAGATGATATTAAAGAATTATTATTAATTTGGTTTAGTATTATAATAATACTGTTGTTACATTTTGAAAAATAATTATTTATGGATGATATATAACCTATTTGGGAGTTGCTTTAAAATATACCAGCAAAATCTTTTTAAATGTGTGAAGAGTGGCAGATGACCAAGAATGGCAACTGTTAAAAACTGAAAAACTGCTGAAGCTGAGAGAGTGATGACTACACTACTAATATTCACTATTTTAGTCTCTCTACTTTTGTGCATCTTTGAAACTTCCCATAAATTTAAATTAAAAAGATTAATACATAGAATTAATAGAGTCAATTCCAGAATGTTTTCATGTAAGTTGAACTTTGAGCTCTGTTTTACAGAGGAGAATAATAAATGTTCCTGGAATGAAAGGGAATAGATAACATTGGTTTGAGCTAAAAGAACATGGATATCTGTGTTATGCATATATGAGTATGTAAATTGAAGGCTACCAATGCAGCTCTGAAGGCAATCTAATAGAATTCAGAATGTAGTCGCTCATCTTCATTTTCTTGAAGAGGAATGAAATTCTCTTATTATTCAGGATGCACAAAAAGCAGTAGTTCTATTGGTCTGTGGATTACCCTTCAGAATGTAAGACTGTGCTGTCATTTCGTCTGAATAATCAACTGAAATGAATTACCAGATCTAAAATGTGCACACAGAAGTTCATTACAGGAAACAGAATAATATCAATGCGCTTGTGCAGTGAACGCTGTCGGATTATATGTAACAAAGAGTTCAAGGAGCTTGGAGACCTTATTTATTAAATTGAGCGATATTAACATGGTTTATCCCACAGTAAGAGCATCTGGGTTGCACTAGAGACAGAACATATTCAGCTGATTGAGTGATTAGAGGAGTGATTTTTTCCTACAGTGTTATCAAAAAACAGCAATAGTGAGAATGAATCATGTAGAAATGAAAAGAAAAAGCTTAATGTGAGTGGGAGCTAGTTACCAAGAGACCTAATTGTGCTTAG